CTTCGGTGTTCGACAACAAAAAAATAAAAGGCGATGATAAGAAAAAAGAAGAAAAAAAAAAAAAGACCACATGGTATTCAGCAAAGCAAGGGCACGGGGGAAAAAACTATTCTGATGTCTGGATGTTTTAACATAAGGAGCTCTATGGCGCCGTCCTGAAGGAAGAAGTAGGAACAGATTTCACCCAGGATGAGAAGAGTCTGCAGATATCCTCTCTGCCCTCCTTTTGACCCTCACAGTATAAAGTTCTTCTACAGAAGGCAGATGGATTGCAATGATCCTTTCTGCAGACTTAACTATTTACAGTATTTTGCTTGCTATAACGCCTGTGACTTGGTTAAAAATACATGTCAATTGTAAGTACATTATTTTAATCGTTTACTGTTATAGTTCATTAATAAGCATGTAAACATTTATGTTTAAAATTTTTCACTGCCTCTTTCCCTCCAACTGGAGCCCACTGCTCTGTTGTCCATAGAAAGATCCCTTTGCATGGCGTGAATTCAAATAATGCGGCCATTTCATAGAATTCACAGACCTCGCTAATCGAGGCCTACCTGTACCATGTGGGAGAAGGCAACGGTCGACCACTCCTGTATTTCTCCCAAGAAAACCACAGAGATACAAAATGATCGACGCTTAGAAATCTATCTAGGTGGTCGCTAGGGGTCAAAAGTGGCTTGAGGGCATATCATCAATCAATCAGTCAATCAATCAGTCAAGGTTGTCGGGGTGCTGCCCCCTGCTTTGTCATCCTAAAGGCATCCAGCTCCCCCACCCACCCATTTTATCCCATCTGGAGGACCCCTATGGACACCCACAACCAGTTGCCTTCCCCTGGACTCCTCAGCCCCATCCCCAAAGGGATCCCAACTCCAGCTGACTGAGGCTGCTGGGAACTGGAGTCCAACCCTCCTGAGCAGCCCAAAAATCCCAGGGGTTCCCTGTGCTCCCATTAGGGTCACCCCCAGGGACGCTTCCCAAAAGAGGGAGTGCCCCCCAACGAGCCCCCCCTTAGCAGTTCACTTATGGACCCACTAAGCAGCCCCCTGCCCCCGACCGGGTCCCCCACTGTCACCTCGAGGGTCGGCCCCCCAGACCCTCCCCTCAGCTGGAACCGCAGGCCGCCCCTCTCCCACCCATGCCTTGATTAGCATACTAAAGCCCCGCCTTCGGCCAAATCACGCCCCTCGCCCTCCTGGCCACGCCCCCTCGCCCCTTCACCTGCTCAATGGCCAGCTGCACCTCCGGCGCCAGCTGCAAGGCGGCCTCCAGCTCGTCGGCCAAGTCCAACTCCTCGTCCTCCATCCCGGCTTCTCCTCCCCACACACAGCGGTGGCAGCGCGACTTCCGGGTGCAGCGGCATTCTGGGATGCTGGAGGACCGCAAGGGGCGGGCGGAGGAGCAGTGGCCAATGAGCGCCGCGGGAGGCGCGGCGAGCAGCAGAGACCACGCCCTCTCAAGGTTCCTATCTGGAGAAGGAAGCCGCTAGGTGGCGCTGGCGCCGCGTTCAGCGTGTTGGGTGAGATTTTAAGCTTTGAGTCTCTGTCTATCTGTGCCAAGAGCCTCTGAGCAAGTACAGAGGGCCTTCTGCTCAAGAAGTGCATGAAAAAGCCAAAGTGCATGAAAAAGTACAATGTGCATGAAAATGCTCAACCCGCGATATTGGCTAGGGAAAAAAATAATAACAGGAATAGGAAAGGCAAAACCTTAAGTCAACGTTGTTTCAAAACGCCTTCCTGACTTCAGAAAGTATTAAAGTGTTTGCAAAAGGGTAAACTTCAGCTGTCTGGAGTGATTTTCCACCCACAGGGCTGCTCATTTTTAATCTACTGAACGAGTGTTACAATCTGCTTCCACATGATTTACCGAGCAAAACTCCAGTTCTCTGGATTCATACAAAACGCTATTCCAAACCAGTGGCTTGCAATTTTTTTTCCTTTTCTGGAGACCACAATATTCCTATTGGAAGCTTTTGAGGACGTCCCATCTGCCGAGGGTTAGCAACCCCTTGCCTACAAGCCCACCTGATTTGACTCCCTGATGTCATCCACAGGACCACAGAATGCATAAAAATTAATCTCATGATCGATCTGTTCCCCAAAATCATAGAGAGCATGCTGGCCGGGGGAATTCTGGGAGTTGAAGTCCACCCATCTTAACGTGGCTGAGACTGAAAAACACTTGGTTAATCTACAGAACAGAAGGTTAAGGAGAGACAGGATAGCAATGTTTCAATACAGGTAGTCCTTGAGTTACAATGGCAATTGGGACCGGACATTCCGTCACTACGCAATGCGGTTGTAAAGTGCAGTGTCATGTGACCTCATCACTTAGCGTCGGAAGTCCTAGCACTCCCGGTTGCCGTTGTTAAGTGAGGCAGTTCGTCAAGCGAGCACCTCCTCACAACTTCCTGTCGGCTTCCCACAAGCAAAGTCAGTGGGGAAGCTGGAGGAAGTTGCAAGTCCCAGGTAGTTCGCAAGCAGGCTGGAGGACAGGCGAATGGCTGCTGCCAGGCAGGGGAGGGTGCAAGCGACTGACTGGAGCGACTTGCGACCTTCCCTGCCGGCGTCCCCACTGACTTTGCTTATGGGAAGCCGGCAGGGAAGGTTGCAAATGGTGATCACGTGACCGTGGGAAGCGGCAATCATTGCAAACGTAGGCTGGTTGCCAAGCGCCCAGATCACGATCACATGACCACGGGGGTGCTGGGATGGCTGGAACTTTGAGAACCAGTCATAAGTCCCTCTCATGCAGCACAGTCGTAACTTTGAACGGTCGCTGAACGAATGGTCATTAACCGAGGACTACCTGCATATGAAGGGGTGTCACAGGGAAGGAAGTGTGGATTTCTTCTCCAGAGCTCCCAAGGGTAGAACAAGAACCTATGGGTAGAAGCTTTGCAAAGGGAGATCAAAACTTGAAATGAGAAAGAATTTCCTGACTGTAAAAGCTATTAAGCAGTGGAACAGTCTCCTTCATGGAGTCGTGGGTGCTCCACCAGTTGAGATTTTCAAGCAAAGGCTGAAGAATAATTCAACTGGATGATATGGGGACTCATCCCTGGGAATCCAAGCTCCCTTTCAGCCCTAGGATCCTATTATTCCAAACTCAGGGTCGCCCTGGAATCTGTGAATTCCTGGGCCATCTCCGGCAACAAACTGAAGATGGAAGTGCCAAAAACCTGGGTGAAGTCTTCAGAAGCTGGATGGTCATCAGTCAAGGCTGCTCTGGTGGAACTTCCTCTGGGCAGGGGATTGGACTAAATGACCTCTAAGGTCCCTTTCAATGCTCTGAACTCGCCTCTGGTGTAGTCCTACCGGTCACTGTCAAGATCTCCTGCAGGATCACGGCAATCTCGTCCCCATCCTTGGTGTTTCAGCTGTTGCGGGGTGTGAAATCTGTGAGGGTGGATCTCTGACAAGCCAACTTTTCCACAAACAACAGGGCACATGTTCACCCACCTCTGGATCGTAGATAATTATGGCTTACCTTCCAAACAGACCTGGGGATTACCCAGAGCATCGCATTCCCGCAGCATGACTTATGGTACTCCTTAACCACAATTTAACCTACAGTCCCAATTTAGACATTAGGCCAGGCCCAGTGGCAATGCAGCTTAACATGCCAGCAGGAACTCCACACCCTGCTGAGCTTCACTAAGCTATAACACGATTTATTTGGTTTTGCTCCACACAATGTGTAAACCAAGACCTACGAAACATGGGCGGCTGACTTAGTGCAGGCTGTAAACAAAGTCCCCGGATCCTGAAGCCTTTTCTGATCACTCCTGTTTGGAAATCAGGCTTCTGTTGCCCTAATTGGCAAATCAAGTTGCACAAATTAGATTGCAAGACTTGTGAGTGATGTCTCCTTTGGCACAGCGAGTCTTACGAGTCCTGGTGCTTATCAGTCATTGTCTCGTAAAGGTGGGATAAAAATGGAAGGAGAAGGAAGAGGAGGGAGAAGGGGAAAGAGGAAAAGAAGAGGAAAAGAAGGAGGAGGAGGAGAGAAGGAAGAAGGAGAAGAAGGAGAGGAGGAAGAAGAGGAAGAGGAAGAAAAAGGAGGAGGAGGAGGAGGAGAAGAAGAAGAAGAAGAAGAAGAAGAAGAAGAAGAAGAAGATTGTCATCATCATCATCATCATCA